AGGGCCTCTTTTCCGTGGACTTCGGCCTCACCGCCGCGTCGCACATCGCAGTGCTGCACGTACGCCGTGCCGAGGCCGTGGATCTCGATCGAGTAGATACCGTCGAGCGACGCGTCGACGACAACCCCACGCCCGAACGGCGTCCGCACGGACGCGCCGTTGGGAAACACGACGCGGTGCTCCGTGTCGTCGCAGACAGTGAGCGTACTCTCGAGGCAGTCGAAGAAGGTGTCTTCGGCCGACTGCTGCAGCCGCGCGAGCTCGAGCTCGTCGAGGCAATCGTAGAACTCTTCGAGCACTTCGAGACTCGCATCGTCGTCGACATCGTCGGTCAAAAGGCGTTCGAGGTACAGCGGTGGCATCTGGTGGACCGTGTGGGCTTGCCGCTGGCGCTTCATACCGTCGCTGTACTGGGACCACGCATTCATGACAAGAGCGACACCGGCGCCCAGTGCGACGGCGCCACCGACCAAGGACGCGGCCGTGCGCCCCGAGAGCTTGGACGACAGCGGCCGGTCAGTCGGAAGCACGTCGTCTCGACCCACGTACGTGATCGTCGTATCGTCCCGCAGCACGCGCATCTTGTGCCCGAGGAAGACGTTGTCGTGGTTGCCCGTCTCGAAGCGGTGCGGAGTGAGCTTGGCACGCGCAACGCCCAGCGCATTGCTTGCCGACCGAGCCATCGGCCGCACCACCCACTGCCACTTGTCGGCTTCGCGTTGAAAGAGAAGCAGCGCGTCGTCCAGCGAGAGCGAAAATAGCTTGGTGGTGTCCGCGCGCTTGGCGTGCGCGAGGCTGGCATCGTACTCGGCGCGGGCTCTCGGGTCGGAAAGCACTTCGTATGCCTCGGCTAGTAGCTTGAACATGTCTTCGGCAAAGGCCAGCTCGGTCGAGTCGCACGACCTCGACCACCGATCGGAGTGCCAGCGCAGTGCGAGCGATCGGTAGGCCGCCACGATCGCGGTCGACGAGGCGTCTCGAGGTACCTGCAGTCGCTCGTAGTGGTCCATGTCTGGATGGCGGTCGTCGACGCGCTTGAGGACTTGGGAGAGGTACGCCGGCATGACGTGCTGCCAGAGCGCATGTGCCGAGAGCACCTCGAGCGTCGCTTGGAGCTTGCCGAGGACCGCGTCCGCGTCGTTTTCAATGACAAGCTCAAACGACTCTTTGGCCAGAAAGGCGTAGCTGCCAAAGGGGACGTACTGCACGTCGCGCCACGCGGGCCCGAGCACGTGGTCTTGGAATTGCCGAAAGACCTTATGGAGCACCGACCACGTCATGTTGACATACGCTGTCGTCGCCAAGATGCACCACGTCATCTTGATGTAGACGCTCGGCGCGAGGTTGACGCCGCTGCCTTCCATGTCGAGGCGCTCGACGGTCGGGAAGAGCCCGAGGAGCGACGCCGTCGCTTTCGAGATCGCAATGAACTTGGTCGTTGTCTTGGCGGCAACCGACGCGGCCTGCGCGACGTTGTAGATCGATGGGATGCAGTCGTACTCGTTGACGAGCGTGATCAATTGCAGCGGCAGGTTCAGCGAGGTGAAGAGCTCGCGGCAGTTGGCGCTCGCGGCGCACGGTGCCCCAAAGCCGACCGCATAAAAGCGGCGCGCCATGTCGGCGGCGATCGACGGCTGTGGCAAGAGCATCTCGAGGTCGAGCTGCAGCGCGTCGCTGAGCTCGTGGAGCGACATGAGCGTTCTCGGGTTCTTCTCGCGGTGGTCGGCGTCAATGGTCTCGATCGCAAACTGCAGTTCGTCCGAGCAGCAGTAACGAAATAATGTCTCGAGGAGGCAGAGCTGCGCAATGCTACCGGCCGTCGAGTGGCCTGTAAAGACGAGGGGCTTGGTCGCCTCGGTGAGCTCTTCCAGCACCGAGCGAATGTACACGGCGCGCTTATGGAACGAGGCGTGGACCCGGCCAGCATACTGGAAGATGGTCTGCCGCTCGGTGACCTCAATGAGCTGCTGCGCGGTGCCTGGCGCCTTGACGCAGCACACGACGCAGTCGGGCGTTTCGACGAGGACAAACTCATCGCTCGCGTAGAGCGGTGGCAGGCTGAAGTAGACCGAGTAGGGCAGCGCGGCCGGGTCTTCATGGAGGAAGCGGTCGGCGTCGCCACTGGCCACGGCCGCGCAGACGACGGCGGCGTGGGCGATGAGCACGTCCGGCACGCCGGCCCCATCCCATCGCGTCGCCATCCCAGCAAAATTGTTGACCCTCGTGTTTATTACGCCAACGGGATGGTGCGCACTAAGTGCGACTGCAAATGATATGCAAAGTACCGTGCAGACAGGACGCTAATCCGACGCAACTCAACGGCCGCTCGCGTGTCTAGGAGCGGGCAGCGGAAGAAACCAGGCACGAGCGAGGCCCCAGCCAGTACCTATTGCTTGGTCCAAGCATGGTGAAAGATCTTGGTTGCTTCTTTACCGCTCTCTTCTGTCAAGGCTACTGCGAGAACGCGCTCTGAGAACAATGGAGTGGGAGCCCACAGAGAGACGCCGCCAGTGTGGCGCACGATAGTATCGAGACGTAATTCCTCTGGCATCATCAATGCTCTGCAGAATTGTCACGCAGCTTGGAGCCTCGTCCATGCAGGCAACTATGCTGCTTTGGGATTGTTTGCATCGTCGGTGGTACGCTCGTAGAGCCGAGTGCAAGGCTACCCAGGGTGCTACCCTTCTCACGCATAGGCTGTAGCCGCATAAAGCCTTGCCTCGTCCTTCGTCTGTGGGCTTCAGATGGCGTGGGTCACTTGATGGCCATGGATGTGGCGTGCGATTAGCCTTGCCGGACATAATTCGGCGACGGGTTCCGCACTTCACCGGGCGCATCGTCGATTCGGCGGGAACGCGCTGCGAGCTGCAAGTCGCCATGTCCCGCCCGGCTCGATACATCGATCTATTGCGTGAGCAGCTGCAAGCATTCATTGCGCGCTGCGTTTGGAGCTCCTACTGCATCGATTACTCTGCGCTGCAGCATCGACTCGCAGGAACAGCGCGCCGGCGTCACGCAGGGCATCTGCCCAATCAAGTCCACGGAGACAGGACCGTCCGTCGACGCGTCCTTGGGACTTGAGCATTACGATCAATCGCAGTTTCGGTCGTGGCAAAGGCGTTTGGCGACAAGGGCACGATAGCTTTAGTGTCTTGGGGACGAACGAACCCACCATTGGTGCGTGCGACAGCTCGAATAAACGCACCGCAGGGTGCCACGTCATGCCACGCGACCACGGCCACTGAGCACATAGGTGCTCAAGGACGCATCATCATCATCTTCCGAGCTTTGCAGCCGACCCGAAATGCAGCCACTGGAGCTTTGTGGCTCGAGCCGCGTAAGCAGCTGGGGCAAGCGATCAAGTACCAGGTGCGTCGCATCGACAAGTGAGAGATCCGATGGCAGGCGATAGCATCTCGAAGCACCAAACCGCACTTGATCGAGCATCGTACTTGATCGAGATCGCTCGCCCATCGCACATCCGATCTTTCTGCGACCCTTGGCGATGGAGAGCATCAAGGCCATGCTCGTGGCCGGGAACAGCAAGGGCGAAGACCCCACAGGTAGATGGTCGCTGCCATGAGAGGTGAAGCATGGCGTGTAGACCTGCGGGAGCCCCATGTTGTCGAGAAGGTACTATCGGACGAGGTCGATGGCGCATGGGCCGACGGGAAGGCGCCGATCGAGATGATTACGACGGTACGCCATGGCAGGGATGTGCCGGTTGACGAGGATGTGCATTAGTTTCTTGGGCACCTCGAAGACGAAGAGACGGAAGAGGCGCTTGCACTCGCGCAGCAGAGTACGTACTCGCCACGTGCGCTGGCGAGGCGACATGGTTGCCTCTAGTCTTGGCGCATGAGCCCGAGAACCAGTTGATCAAGAACCTCCAAACTGCGCTGCAACTCAAGCTCGTCGTCGGTCGTGCAGGAGCTCTCCGATTCGTCGTCACACTTGTTGCGTAGACAGCCACGCGGAGGCCCACGACTCGAGCGAAAGCAGCGACGACGAGGACGAGGATGGAGACGACGAGGATGAGGACGAGGACACGGACGACGATGGCGAGGACAACGAAGCGATGCTCGCCGAGGCCAAGGACGTCGAGCTCTAAATCCACGTCTTGGTGATTGGATCCTTGTGTTTCACGGATTGCATGCTGGGTACTCGCGATGATGACGGGCATCTCAGCCAAGGAAATAAGAATGGTTCTTATTTCCTTGATCTTAGCAAAGGTCGACCTGACGGCGGTGCATCGGGCAGGTAGACAAGCCAGCTGAGAACGCGACAACAATGGCTTGCTGGCATCTTCCCAATGCGGTGAGAATCGAGCCAACTCTACGCTTTGTTGAGCATTCGTGCCTGCTGAGAATATGCATCCGGCACGAAGGTTTGCTTGGAGCAACCGCGTCGTGCTTGTGTGATTTCACGACCGACCCCTGTCCTGACATCACCAGCCGTCTTGACGTCGTCGTCAAGGGAAAGTGACATCGCCTGCGTAAACGCCTTGTTGCCAGGAGCTCCACCCGCCAGCATCCTCGTAGGTATATCCTTACCAGCGATTCTAGATTCCCAAGTATTCGCAGCGTGAGACGTGATGCGCTCTTCTTGGCCACGCATCGAGCGTCCGACCGCGTCGTCGCACCACGGCAGCTTGAGCACGCGCTTAAGTTGCTGCTCGCTCGGTCGCACGGTTGGACTGGAGGTCCTATCCAGCGTTATGGCCTTGTCGCTGCCGTGTGGCACTCGCAGCGCGCGTCGAGCTCAACGTACGTTGGCACAACCTGAGCAGGCGCAAGGGGAGAGTAATGCGTGCTTGGTGCGGCCATGCGCCTCGCAGGACGTGCCACGTCACGTGCGATAAAGTTGCGTGCGTCTAGAAACCAACCTCTGAGAATGGATACCTCTATTTATTGATATTCTCAGAGTTGACTGCGAGGAATTCACACACGTGTCGATAGTATTTTCGAATTCGCCAGGACGATGACCGACTACTCCAAGTGGGACAAGCTCGAAGACTCGGACGACGAGTCGGCTGCGACGACCGTGGTGGCGGCGCCTGCTGCGCCGGCGGCGCCGACTGGCATGCAGAAGGCCGAGGCCATCCGGCTGCAGGCCCATGCGCTCATGGAGAGCGGCAAGTTTGCCGAAGGCGCGACCGCGTACAAGGACCTCATTGCACACGCGCCGACGGACGCGCCCGCCATCTTTGTCGAGTCGTGCCGCATGAACCTCGCGATTGCGCTCATCAAGCAAGACCTGCACCACGAGGTCATCCCGCTCTGCTCGGAGATCCTCAAGGTCAACCCGACCTTGCACAAGGCTCAGCACTTTCGTGGCCACGCGTTCATGCAGATGGGCTTTATCCAAGACGCTGAAAACGACTTGAAGGCGGCCCAGGAAGGCATGCCGGAGGATGAAGGCGTCGCTGGCGACTTGGCGCAGCTGGCCATCGCGCAGGCCGCCGAGGGCAAGATGAAGGAGCTCATGGGCAAGGCGAACGAAGCCTTCCAGGCCGAGAACCTTGACGACACGGTGACGTTCTTTAAACAAGCGCTCGAGGAAGCGATGAAGGTCCGTCGGCGCGACGCGTGCGGCGCCATCAACGGCAGCATCGGCATGGCGCTCTTCAAGCAGGACAAGCACCGCGAAGCGATTCCTCACTTTGTGCAGGCGCTTCAGGACATGCCCCACCCGGAACGGCGGATGGAGTTCCTCGAAGCGCTCTCGGCGTGCCACACGGTGCTCGGGGAAGCCGAAATGTGCGTGAAGGCGCTCGAAGGCGCGATCATGATTGGCGTCCAGGCCGGCGCGCCGCCGCAGCGCATGGTCAAGCTGCTCTTGCACGCGGCGCGGTCGTGTGGCATGCTCAAGCAGACGGAAGAGGGCCTCAAGTACGTCAAGAAGGCCAAGGAAATTGCGACGATGGCGCAGCAGTGGGACATTGTGTTTCAGTGCAACGAGTGGATCGCGCGGCTCCACACGGAGAACCAGCAGCCGGACCTCGCGCTCGCCAGCATCACCGAGGTACACGTCGACTCGTTCCTTGCCTACCGTCGTCTCATGCAGCATCTGTGTAGGCGTTCCAGGAGGCGTGCGCCCGCGTCGACCTCAAGTCGGCGATCGCGCTCATGTACATCCAGATGCACGTGCTCAAGATCACAGACCCGATGAAGCACATCAACCTCGTCCAGTCGACGCACGCGTTCTTCGTGTCCCAGAAGGAGTTCAAGGGCGTTCTGAGCTGCCTCGAAGTGCTCGTGGTCCATGGCGTCAACGCGTTCAAGAGCGGCGGCAAAGACCCGAAGCAAGCCGCGGCGCTCGACGAGCTCTGGGACGAAGTGCGCGCGTTGCCGTACGAGCCGATGGAGAACGAAGAGAAGTTCCTCGTCCTCAAATTGCTCCAGCTCCAGGCGGACTTTTACATTGAGTTTGACACGAAATCCAACTGCAAGAAGGTGCTCAACGAGATGCTACAACTCGCGCATGCGATGAAGCCGATCCCGCCCCAGCACATCATCGCCGAGGTGTTCAAGAAGCTCACGGCGCTCTCGGAAGAGGTGACCGAGCAGCGTGCCAACTTGCTCAAGGTCGAAGCGTCCTTGCGCCAGTTCAAGGCCGACGTCGAAACGCGCATCCAGAACGACCAGAAGGACGAGATTCTGGCCAAGATCTCGGGCGACATTGCCGACACGCTCTGCAACAAGGCGTACTGCGAGGCCGAACTCGGCGAAATTGACGAGGCCGAGAAGACGCTCGCCGAGTGCTCGGCCTTGTGCGCGGCCAGCGGCATCCAGAACGGCCGCATCGAATGCCTCACGGAGATTGCCACGGGCATCCTCGCCCTCAAGCGAGGTACTGCTCCCTTTCGGGCCACTCGAAAGACTCATGGGAACACTAGGCAACAAGGACGCAGCCGAGGCGCATTTCGCCAACGGTCTCGCAGCCGCCGAGGCTTCCAAGGACGACAACGTCATTGCGCAGGTGCGCGAACTCGTCGATGACGCGCGGCAAAAGGGCGGGCTGTCCGTGACACCGTCGACGGCGACGACCCATGTGCCGCCGACGCCGACGGTTGAGTCGCCCAAGCCAGCCGAGGTGGCCAAGGCCCGCGCGCTTCCGGCCAAGAAGACGTACCCGGGCGCCAAGGTCAAGAAGACGCAGAGCTCGTCGCTCGTCGAGTACATTCCGCTCATCGTCTTCATGCTCTTCCTCGCCATCTTCTTCCAGCTCGTGAGCCAGTAGTGAGTAGTGAGTAGTTTCTTTACGAGTCGATATGCCTGTGTGAGTCGTTTGTTGCGTGACCAAAGATCGAACGAGTCGCGACGGGAGAGCACGCCACGTCATCGGCACCTCAGGATGCCACGTATGACGCCCACAACTCCGCCTGCACCATCGACGTCTCCTGCACGACGGAGGACCAGTGGCATGTCGCTGGCCCTTGTCTACGTCTGCACGCAGGCAGCAACCTTACAGCAGCGTCCATTGGGTTGGATGGAGACCGCCATCGATCGTCTCGAGACACTCTGAAGAACAAGGGAGCACCACGCACGTCTATTGAGCCGACGTATCTCGCACTCTAGGCTTGCGCGCGCATGGCCTTTTCCAGAACGTGCACGACGGCATCCGCGTTGGACGGGGCGTAGCGGGTGGCGTCCGAGAGCGGCGTGCCGCCCCAGCGGTCGACTGCGTGCACGTTGCCGCCTTGGAAGACGAGTTCTTCGAGGACCGCGACGTGGCCCATGGACGCCGCAATGTGCATGGCCGTGCGTCCGTCGTAGTCTGCCGCGTTGACCTACATAGCGTTCTTCAATGAGCCACGAGCAGCCAAGGAAGAGCACGCACGTCGGCGCCGAGCAGTTTGAGGCGGCGCATCTCTTCGACATTGCCTTCGTACGCGGCGTAGAGGGCTTGGTAGAGCAGCTTGCGGCGCATTTTGGTGTCGTAGGCGACCCCGGAACTCGCAGCGCTCGCGCGGAAGACGGGCGACGGCAGCTTGGTGTGCGTTACGAACGCGTCAAAGTTGTGGAACGGAAAGCGCTGCACGAGCTCCTCGCTGAACTGGATGCCGCGCACCGAGTTGCCAATCTCGTCGAGGCGCGGCGACCAGAGCGCGACGCCCATGACGTTGGGGATGACGAGGAGGAGGACGCCCGAGACGCCCGACTTGGCCGGAATGCCGACGCGGTAGCTCCACGTGCCGCTCGCGTCGTACATGCCGCACGAGAACATGAGGCTGAGGCAGTTGCGGACGGTCTCGGCCTTGAAGATGCGGTGGTTCGTGAGCGGGCAGACGCCACCGGTCGCGAGCGACGCCGCCAGCACGGAAAAGGCCGCGCAGTTGGCCGTGAGCGAGCACTGCTCAAAGTAAAACTCGAGCGTCTCCATGAGGTCCGTGTCGTCCGGAAGGCACTCGGCCTCGCGCATCATGTAGCCGAGGCAGCAGTTGCGGTCCGCGGACGACCGCTCCGAGAGGCACACCGAGTTGTCAAAGCCGACGTTGGCGTCACCGCAGAGCGCGCTCCAGACCGACATGACGTACTCGAACCGCTGGTGCAGCGGCAAGTCGCGCCGAATGAGCGACGACGACATAATCGCGCCCGAGTTGATCATCGGGTTGTGCGGAATGCGAAAGCCGTGACGCTCGAGCAAGCTCAAGTCGTTGAAGCGCAGGCCGCTCGGCTCGCAGCCCATGTGAAAATGCACTTTTTCGGGGCCCAATTCTTCGACCGCCAAGCAGTACGAGATCGTCTTGCTGCACGACTGGACGCAAAAGCTGTCGGTGGCGTCACCGAGGCTAAAGCGCTGGCCGTCGACGGTGCAGAGAGCCATGCCAAACTTCTCGGGGTCCACGTTGGCCAGCTGCGGGATGTACGTCGCAATGTGGCCGTCGCGGTTGAGCTTGGCGCGCTCAAAGATATCAATCATCTACCACATCCAAGTCATGTCCTTCCCTTTATCCGGTGACGAGTGTGTACTACCTCGTCGCAGAAGGCGCCAAAGTTGGGAATGATGAGAGCGTGCGCCATGGCCTTTTCGAGGAGGATCGCACCGCTTTCGGTGAGGTACCGGTACTGCTCGTACGACAGGGTCGCGTCGAGGCCGAGGAGCTTGACGTTGTCGACGAGCTTGCGCAGGCGCGGGTCGTTCTCGAGCAAGCCGCTTTCGCGCAGCGTGCGGAGGAGCGTGCGCACGTTGACCTTGGCGAGATGGCTATCGTCGTCACTCGCTTCCGTCGCGCCGAGGATCGCCGCCTTGTTGGCCTCGCGCGACTCGGCGCGCAGGAGAAACTGCGTCGCCGAATGCGACGACATCTCGTACCCCTCGAGCTCGTCATCGCTGTCGTGGGCCGGCGTCGACGGGAACGCGCTTGGCGGGTGCTGCGCCATCGGCGCCTTGAGCGCCTTGCGCAGAAAGTCGACGATCGGTGCGTGGCCACCGCGGCGCGCCTCGGACAAGGGCGTGCGCTGGCTGCGATCCTTCACGTCAATCGGCATCTCGTACCCCTCGAGCTCGTCGTCGCTGTCGTGGCCCGGCGTCGACGGGAACGACGCGTTTGGCGGGTGCTGCGCCATCGGCGCCTTGAGCGCCTTGCGCAGAAAGTCGACGATCGGTGCGTGGCCACCGCGGCGCGCCTCGGACAAGGGCGTGCGCTGGCTGCGATCCTTCACGTCAATCGGCACGTTGGCACGCTCGACAAGGAAGTGGACGACGTCGAGGCGGCCCTCGGCGGCCGCCACGTGCAGCGGCGTGCGCGCGTCATAGTCGCGCAACGAGGCAAACGCGAAGCCTTCGCTGAGGAGCGACTTGAGGTGGTCGAGGTCGCCGTTCGCGGCGGCGTAAAAGCACGTCATGTCGCGGAGCAGCATCGGGCGTGTCGCGGACGCGTGGCGCGCGACCGGGGCCGGCGAAGGCTTGCTGGACGTCGCGCCCGCTTTCGTGAGCAGCTGTGCCACGTGCAGGTGGCCAAACGTGATGGCATCCGACATGGGCGTGCCGCCCCAGCGGTCGACGGGCCCGAGGTTTGCGCCGTGCTTGACGAGGTAGTTGACGACGCTGATCTTGCCTTCGGAGGCCGCCAAATGCAGCGCCGTGCGGGCGTCGTAGTCGGTGCCGTTGAGGTTGGCGCCACGCGACCGCAGCCGGCGGATCTCGCACACGTCGCCTTCGGCAGCCGCAATCAAAAGCTTGGTCGTAATCTCTTCTTGGACCAATCTAAGAAATAAGCAGCAATCAGATAGAAGAACGCAGGATGGCGTACCGCGAGTCGCGGCGCGGGTCCTTGCGCGCGAGGTTGATCATCGGGAGCGAGTCGAAATTGTGAAAGGTAAACTTGGTGGCGATCGCTTTGAAGAACGAGACGCCGTTGATCGAGTTGTGGGATGCGTCGAGTGGCGGCGAGTAGGACGAGAAGCCCATGACGCCGGGCACGACAACAATCATCGCACCGCCGAGCGAGCTCAGCGCGGGCATGCCCACGTGGAAGGCCCACTCGCCACTGTACGTGCCGAGCCCGCACGAGTACATGACCTAGCCATATGTCCATGGGTCTCGGCGACGCGGAAAAAACGAATGGCGTACCGAGAGACAATGGTGGACGGTCTCGGGCTGCATGACGCGGTCGCCCGAGATGGGGTGGATGCCGCCGTTGGCGAGCGTCGCCGCGAATACCGAGAGCTCGTCGACCGTGCACCGCGCCGCGCAGGACCGGAAGAAGAGCGCCATGACGTCGTCAATGTTGGTTGCGGACGGAAAGCACTTGGCCGCATCGAGCATGTACGCGATCGACTTGTTGATGCTCGCGTACGTCGCCTCCTCCATGGACGAGGCCGAGGGCTTTGCCGAGGACGAGGGCGTCGTACGATCCTCGCGGCTAAAGAGGGTGTTGACGCGGTTCAAGAAGCCGTTGAACTTGGCATCGACCGAGCCGTTGTCGTCGAGCAAGAGGGCGCACGAGACAAGAGCGCCCGTGTTCATGAGCGGGTTGTGCGGCCGCTTCTTGTCCTTCTTCGTTTGCTACAGGTCGTCTACTGCGTCAGAGATGCAATCGTGGAAGGAGCCATATGTACCAGGGCCATGGCGTGGGCGCCGAGGCCGCTCGGCTCGTGCGAGATGTACTCGTCAATGTCGGCGTGGGTCTCCATCGCCATGCTGTACAAGATGGGCTTACAGCACTCCTCCAAGCCAAACTACGTACGATACTCATTGAGCTTCACGCCGACGTAGAGAGGACGCTACCTCAATGTTGCCGGGCTGGGGCGACGTGCCCATGACGTGGCGCTGGCCGTCGACGGTGCACATGGAGACGGCAAACGTCACCTTTGACGTACGCGCCGTGAGCCCGCTCTTGGCGCACGTCTTGTCGAAGAGCGCCTCGACGTCCGAGCGAAACGAGTTGAACTTGGGGATGCAGAGCTGCCCGCCAAAGCACTTTTCGATCGTCTCGGCGCAGTCCTTGGTCGTCGACTGGAACGTGTCAAAGTCCATGACCAAGTCGGGATGGGCCTCGAGATGCTTGCACAGCGGTGCGATGCGCGGGTCGTCGTGGCGCAGACCGCACTGGTCAAACTCGGCAAAGATGTCGGCCGCCGAGATCGTGCCATTGTGGTCCTTGTCGAGGTACTCGAAGACGCGCTGGCCAAGTGGCGCGGCCTCGAGGTCCAGCGTCTCGAGGCGCAGGCCGCGCTCGATGCGGCGCGTGGGCGACATGGAGAGCTTTCGCGGCGATGCTTCCTGGGCCATGCTGGCAAGTGACAAACGGCGATTGATGGACTGCCGCTCCTACTGCGCTGCGATATGAAGGATCGCGCCGCCTCCCAATTGGTCGGCCATGGGTACCTTCAACCTCCAGTTTTTGATAACCTAGGTTGCAACGTTTTAGTGTCATCACGGGGTTTATATAGTGTGAATAGATAGCAGGTTCCCAGCCCGTGGTGAGCTGGAGTTAGTCACGACGCCCGCGGAGCTGGACGGTCGCCATTGCGGCAAAAGGACGACATTATTTACACGTCTAAAAGACGACTGTACTTGCTGCTGCTTCATTTACCGCGACCTGGGACGGATGCTGAAGCTTGAGGCATTGCGCAATCACTTCAATGACGCTGGTGTCGTGCAGCGTTGGCGGTTGTGTGCGGTAGTGTACTCATCGCATCGAGTCCGTCCTCGACGCACATGTGCCTCCGTTGGCCTACTCTAGTTGATTCGAACGAATGATCATTTGAGCGCAATCGGTCGACCTGGACCCTCGTCACATGTGGGCGAGTCGTCTTATCCATGATATCCGGCGACTTCGACAGCGCTGACCGTCGGCCAACATGGAGACTGCAAGCAGGGAGCTCTCCATGGTGATGCTTCTTTGCATAGCGAATGCATTCGCACCGAGCTCTGGCCCGTTTTGATTTCGATGGCCACGTCGAATTGGTTACCGCTCTTTTATCGAAATAGTGTGCTTCATGTAGTGTAACATATAGTGTGCGAATCGAGGAATCGAAGTATTTATTTATGGAGGTTCCCAGCCTGAGGTTTCTGTTGGTCGTAAATTCCATCGAAGCATTCTGCACCGGAGGACCATGGCGCGCCGCGACGACTTCTACCTCCGCTACTAGTACGCCTCATGCGCCACGTACGTGTATGGCCGCTAACGAGCATCATGTAGTGTCGGCCACAAGGGCAAGTTTGGCCACGAGTACATGGAGTTTGAGCTCCAGTCGAACGGCCGCCTGCGCTACGCCAACAACTCGAACTACAAGAACGACTCGATCATTGAAAAGGAAGGTGCGTCAACCCATCGCGCGCTCTCATGCAGGGTCTCATGTGCGTGGACCAGTGGTTGTATCGCAGTCGGTCCTCGACGAATTCAAGCGCATCATCGAGAGCAGCGAGATTGCCAAGTACGTTGGCATGTGTCCAAGGCGGGGCTGACCGAACGATGTTGTTGTGTGTAGCGAAGACGACCGCAAGTGGCCTATTAGCGACCGCGTCGGCAAGCAAGAACTCGAGCTGATTCTCGACGACAAGCACATCTCGTTCAGCGTATGACTTGGATATCGTCGCGCTCATGCCATCCACCCTGTCCCTCTAGTGCGCAAAGATCGGGTCGCTCCTCGATGTGCAAGACAGCGACGATCCGGAAGGCCTTCGTGTCTTCTACTACCTCGTGCAGGACTTGAAGTGCATGGTGTTCTCGCTCATCACGCTCCACTTCAAGGTACATCACAATGTAGGTTGCTGTGCTAACACATCATCTCTGCGACTAGATCAAACCGATCCCGTAAGCGACGAGCCTAGCTGGTGAGCTCCCCAATCAAAAAGTATTGAAAAGCAATCGTCGTTGCTATGTGTTGGCAGCGCCCAAGAGGATCGGTGCTCGTGTTGGCAATGGAGCTAGCCCAACGGGCTCCAGGTGCACGTTGAAGATCGCAGGGGAGTGGCATCCCACGCGTAAGGTCTCTTGCGCACCACAACGTTCTGCCCGTGTTATACGTCGTCGAATCATGGCTGGATCTCTCGACACGTCGCTACATTGCGCACGCTGCCTTCGCCTCACGTTACAGGTCACTCGTCGCATCCACGATCGTCTGCTCGGAGGCTGCATGCTGCATCGGGCAATAAGATCGCACTCATATCGCCATAGACGCCCGAGAGCCACCTCGTGCCATGGACGCATCGGCCATGATGCCATGGGGTCATGGAGGCGCGCCGGAGGCGACTTCAAGAATCTGGTTCTTCTCGCCTGACGTCGTCGGCGCCGCCAGAACCTGTCCTCGGCGAGATCTTGCTCGACGAGCTATTCCGGATACCGTGGAATCCGAGGTGGGCGCTTTGGATTGGCTGCTGGGTGGCGAATTTCCTGCAATCCTCTGTTTTTGTATAACCTGTTACAATGCATGTGATTGTTCCTGCTTCATGAGTATCTTGTGCAACTTCAAGGACCTCTTGTATATGATATATGGTCTTTTCACATAGCCTGTAGCAATGTATGCGCCCGCACGCCTCATTGCCGGCCCAAGCTGGCGAGAAACCTCTCAGAACGAATGCCTTGGATTTTTCGGCCGAGCGTTTGTTTCTACAGCGTTTTCGTATACAGGGGTTGGTAACGGTGAAATAATATTTCGACGAAAAAAATCCGCCAACGGGAGACCGCATATCTCAACACGTCGGCAGCGCGGAAGAGTCGGCGACCATGGCCTCCAACAAGACGTGCCACTTTAAGCTCGTGCTCCTCGGCGACACGGCCGTCGGCAAGTCCTGCCTCGTCGTGCGCTTCGTCCGCGACGAGTTCTTCGAGTTCCAGGAGCCGACGATCGGCGCCGCCTTCCTCACGCAGACCGTCTCGCTGGACGATGGCATGACGGTCAAGTTTGAGATTTGGGATACCGCCGGCCAAGGTAGACAGTCTATGTGTTGGCGCGCATTCATATGGCCTACTCTAGAGCGCTACCGCAGCCTCGCGCCCATGTACTACCGCGGCGCCGCCGCGGCCATCGTCGTCTACGACGTCACGAACAAGGTGCGCAGCTGCGCGATGGCACGGTCGTGGCTCATTGGCTACTACTCTGATATAGGACTCGTTTACAGGCGCCAAGTCGTGGGTGAAGGAGCTCCAGCGGCGGGGCGACCCCAATGTAATCATTGCGCTTGCCGGCAACAAGGCGGATCTCGAGGCGCGCCGCAAGGTCGACTTGGAGGTGCGATGATCCATCATGATCGCCAGCAGCCAACGTAATGCGTGATGATGCTAGGAGGCGCGTCAGTACGCGGAAGAGAATGAGATTTTGCACATGGAGACGTCGGCCAAGACGGCTGTGAACGTCAAAGATCTCTTTGTGGCGATCGCGCAGAAGCTACCGAAGACCCGCAGCAACCGGAGCGAGATGCATTCCCGATCACGCCCGTGACTCCACCGAAGAAGAATGGCTGCTGCTAATGCAATCGCCTGTTTTGCCTGCGTGTTCGTTCGGCTCCACTCGTAGAGGCAGCGTCTTTATGACTGAAAATGAACATATTTTATTTCGGTGCTTGCATCGCGCTTCTTGAGGTCAACATCGTCCACACGCCCAAGCAGCAGTACAGAGGGTACGTAGATAGGAAGCAAGCTTACGAGCTCTTGCAATGCGCAACGTGGTTCTTGGCGTCGTCGTCGATACCAACCGTCCCGTTGATGCCAAAGAGGCGGACGCCGTGGAGCTCGGGGAGCTTGGCGAGAACGAGGATGATCCAGATCGGGCAGTTGATGAAAAGCTGCGTCGTGTCGTAGTTGGACGAGACGCTCGCGAGCAAGAGGAGCGCCGTGGGCACCAAGATGAGAAACTTCTTGACCCACGTCCACGGGCGGCCGTCGTCAATCTGCTCGTAAAAAGTCATTTCGCGGTACTCGCCCGAGCCCATCGAGCCCTCTTCCGGCGAGCCCTTGATCCAGTGCATGATCATGAACGAGATGAAGCCATGCACAATGCTGACGCCGGTCCAGGACCACGTCGCGGGGAGCACCATGGTCACGATGGTGTAGATGAAGAGGAGGAGGATGCCATAGAAGGCCGCGAAGCCCGGCGAGTCCATCCAGTTGACGTTCTTGTTGAGGTTCGGCTCCATCATCGTCGCGCTGCGGCTGCTCGACATGGCGGCTGCGAGGTGTTTCTTCGAGTGAAATCCCCGACCATGTTTTTGGCCTTGTTCTGGTAGCCGAAAACGAGCCAATCCGAGACCAGCGTCGCTTGGAAAAGCGCCGGCCACGCCTTGCGATTGGCCAAAAAGGTGTACGGGTTCAAGTTGAAATAGCTCCCCTACAGTGCGGTTTCTTTTTATTAAATCATTTCTGATTTGTATCCGATCGGCCGACACATGCAATAATAATATAAAACCAACACTCGTGTCGCGTGTTTTATGATGATGATGCAAGGGACCATCTTGGAGCGTGATCGTCGAGTTCCTTTTGTTCCTACAGCCACGCGTACACGCGCCGAGCTTTCCCCTTCACTTTCTGGTTGATGGTGAAGGCTCGGCGCGTCTACGTATAAGAGTTGGTCAACTGGTGAGCGAAGGGTATAATTCGAGGGGTACCATTGTGTACCCGTTGCATGACGCCACTGGATTTACCCACGCGATTGATGCCCGTGTTATAGTTTCGACACTCTGCAAAAAAGCCGACGATTTGCACGTTAGCTTGTCATGGAGGACCGATGAAAGCTCGGGTAGTTCCGAGAAGCGAAACCATTTAAAATGGTATATCGCGTAGCCGCACCGTCACGCACGACCAGATCTGACGTTGTCCACGGCGAGGGTCGAAGTATCTTTGACGCAACGCCCCGTCGCGCGATCAGGTCACGGAGACTGCGCCATTGTCTCTGGCACATCGACCATAGACAGCGTTCGACCTGCTAGTGTGTCAGAACCAACATCACATATCCCGGCAACGTGGTGGTTCTATCTCACCACCACCACGTACCCAGCGTCAATAACCAGCGACGGGAGCATGTTTGCTACATTATTGACCAAGACATCAATGACGCTGCCTAGTGCTTGGATCTGTCCGCACTCCAAATCACGATTATTAAGGTTCCGGTGGAGGGGGCTGGTAGGAATGCATTGTGGACTGCTTTTGTGTTTACATAATACCAGTACGTGTTAGATGTGCATAGTGTTCACGAGTGGCCAAAGCGGCGGATACCTGTCGTGAACGGAGCCGCCAAGCATTTGGCGTGCCATTAAAGCAGTCGTACGGCTTGTATTAGTATGACCTCAACAAACGGTGGAGCGATCTACCGGTAATATATGTTGAGCGACGCCAAAGGTATCAATAGCACTATATTTCAGCGAATGCAAGTACCGTCGTGCCTACATCGTGGTGCCAATCCAATAAGATCTGACGGCAATCCATTTCAAAAATGCAAAATGCGCGCGCTCCGCAATTCTTATCCGGATGATTTGAATTGCGATACAAATATCGTGTTCCCGTCAACCGGCAGAGAATTGTCCGGATAACACATTCGAAGCGGCCGGCGATCCGCGACCAAGGACAGGCGAAGCATGATGTACGACGACCGAGTGGGCTCCATGATGGCTCATCCATCGACCTAGGCCTCGGAGGCGCCAGAAGTCGGCCTTCTTTCCCGACACCGAAGATGAGGACACGAGCTGCGCAGAAGCAGCCCCGCGCGTGCCCCCGATGAACACATCCTTCCGCATGTAGCTTACCTCGCATCATGCTTCTACGCTCATGCATGATGGATGTAGGGCTCCACAAGGGCGAGCTGTGCTATCTCGCCATGCGCCCAAAAGCCCAAAGGGCCGCCGTCCGTCAACGTCGCTCTCGCCAACGCCAGCGTCGTTCAACAGCGGCGCGTATCTGGGCACCATCGAGTTCCCGTCGACACGCTCCGTCCTGTGGTACAAACTTCGCTGCTGCTTCGAGGTAGAGTGCTGAGCTGCGGTAATAGGGACCGTCGGTCGCTGGGGGCCGCCCAAGTGATCCACCCTGAGGAAGCCATGGTGCCCAAGATCACGCTCACCGCTTCCGTCCTCGGACAGATTCACGAAGCGGTGCTTCGGCGCTCGTCGGGACCCCAACTCCTTGGACATGTGCTCTACAGCCAAGCTATGTCGTCCCAGAACTGGGCGGTTCATGGGACTGCATTCAGCGTCAACACGGACCCTCGCAACCTCTCGCGGCCGCCGTCGTCCTACCCGGTCTTTGTCGTGCTCAAGGACGTGCGCGAATTGGGCTCGGTATGACTTTTTCTACATGCGAATCGTCTCATCGCTCGCTGTAGCTGTCGTCCTATGACGCCATGGTCCATGGCACAACGTACACGCTTCAGCATGGCGGGCCACTCGACGTCGCCCTCTCGGTACTTTTTTACATACGCTGGCATAGGTCAATTCACGTGCTCTAGATGCGCTTGGTGGTCTCACTCTTTATGCCCACGCAGCTCAACTTGACGATGGAGCTTATGGCGCCGACGGCCGAGGTCCATCTGTTGCCAATCCGCAACCTTCCGCTGCTCCTCACGCCGCTCGCCAAGGCGCTCATGAAGCTCCAGTCAACGCACGAGAGTGGCCTCGTCACGCTCGATAAGACGCGCAAGATGGTGCCGCTGCTGCCGACGGATCCCCTCGCCACGTCGCGGCCGCTCGTAGGTCTCTGGCTCCAGGCGTCGTCGGCCACGTCCATGTACTATCAGAGCCTATTATACCACACCATGTCGGTAGCTGGGCGCGAACAGCTCTGGGTTGCGCCGCGGACGTGCTTGGTTGTCAAGTACCCCACCGAGGCCAAGCAGTGGCTACCCGAGTTCTTCGAGATGACGCTCGGCACAGAGGAGACGAGTCCCGCGACCATAGCTCTCTTTACGACCACACGACGGGTGACGGTGGGTCGATCGGCAAACGTTGACGTCGTCGAGCTCTATCTGCAGCAGTCGCACCAACCGGTGCCAACGGCCCCCGTCCCGGCTGCGTCCCCTGTCGTGCACGAGCCCGAGCCAGCCCCACATGCAGATGATAGCATGTCCTACGACGAGCTGCCGACGCCAATGCCGCGCCTTCCGCCAACCAATCCCGTCGCCAAACCCGACTTTCGACCGCTGTCACCACGACCCGCGCCGCCGGCCCAGGCGGTCGAACGTGCGTCCTCGGATCATCTGCTTCGGGAGCACCAGGAACAGATGCAAGCGATGCAGCGGCAGATCCAAATGCTCCAGGACCAGCTACAAGCCGTACAACGCTTGTACAAGAACGCGGCGACACCCAAAGAGACCCAGTCGGTGGGCACCAACACGAGCTTCATTGTCGCCAGTCCTCCTTCTCTTGCTGTCAGTGGGATCGACTCTCTGCCTCTTGACATTGCGCCATCGTCACCCAACGAGACCACCGGTAGCGAGCCTACCAAGCTCGACCGAGATCCATCGACAGTTGGAGGTGATGACGACGGGGACGCAGCTCCTCTTGAAGACGCACCCACGGACGAAGACACGGCACTCGCCGTCCATATTGATGACAACGCGCCGATCGTGCTGGAAGACGGAGACACGCCGGATGTCGTGGAAGTGCGTCAGAGCGCACCAACTCAACACGATGCTCCTCGGGTGGACGATGCGAACGATGAATACGTGCCTCTGTCCGACGACGACGAGCCAAGCAGCGGTATCCAGTACGTCGTGGAGCCCGAAGAGATTGACGATTATTTATCCGAGCCGTCGTCCGTGACGTACCCGCTCCTGCGCACGCAGTTTGACTCGGCGACGCTCGGGCCACCGGCGATGCCAATGTCGACGCTGCTAGAGACCATGGACATTCCGCGCATTCGGTACCGTCTCAGCTGCGACGACGACTCGGAAGAGGACGAGGTCGAAGTGCGCGCGATCGAAGCCAAGTACCTCAAGCGCATGGTCAAGTCGTCCTAGTCCTCCATGTCATCACCATAGCAAATCTAATACCATGTCATGTACAAGTCGTCTGCGATCCCGTGTACGATCGTCAGGGTGGATCTTGAAGGGGCGCATACGAGACCGTTCATTGCATCACCTGCGCTGGCAGCTACCAAGAGGTCTCCTGTCGTCGTACCATGCACGTGCTCGATCTACTTGGTATCGACCGGCGATTGCATCACACACGTCGCACGCAGCGGAACGGGCATCGCCAGTGCCCTTTTCACACCTGAAATGGCCGATATCGAGTCTGAGAGGTTATTGACGGGCTCAGAACAGAAGGAAGTCGTCGTCGTCAACGAGCATGGATCTCGGCAGCTGGGCGCATGAGGCCTTCGCGCCGGTCGTGCTGCTCAACACGACGGCCGAGGCCGAGCGCATCGTCGCCAAGAACGGCGGCCTCTCGGTCGAGCAGCTCCTCAACGCCTACGGCGTCTTCGCCAACGCCAATACGCCGGTGCGGTCGGTCGCCGGCCCCGTCATGCTGCCCGAGGTGCGCATGCGCTTTTTTCACGCCGCCAACTTTGGCCCAACGCCGCCGGCCGACGCATCCGCCAAGCTCAACCAGGTCATCGCGGACTCGGCCGTGCGCGTGCAGACGAGCAGCCCTGACAAATGGCCGTGGAAGCTGCCGCCGGTGGCGAGCGACGCCGACGTCCCCGCCTTTCTGCGCGCAATTGGCGGCGACTCGATCGAGCCGCTGCCGTGGTACAAGGCCTTCAAGCACGAGTTGCTCGAGAGCTTTCAGTGCGAAGAGACGAGCATGATCTACCACCCGCACGCCAACGTCCTCGTCGTCTCGTCGACCGAGGGCGACCCGCGCCACGCGTTCCAGCAGCTCGCGTCGCCACAGTCGATGCCGTCCGTCTTCCAAGAAGGCCTCTACGACATGAACATCCCCAAGTACTACATCGTGCTGCACGACGTGTGCGAAACGCAGCAGACGTCGATTGACGCCGACGCCATCTACCGCAACCTCGGGCTCCCGGCCAACTCGGGGGGTGTCATGCACATCAACTCGCTTCCGACGCCCAACCTCGAGTCGGCGCCGTCCTGGGTCGGCCACCCATACGTGCGCAACTTGCCGCCGGTACCGTTGCGTCGTCTCTCGTAGCTTATGCTGTATCGTCTTCTGTCGTATAGCTGGACCACGACGCACCCTTTGGGTGCTTCCTCGACGACAGCGACCACCAATCGATCCGCAACTTGCTCTGGGACTTTGCAACGAAGTGCATGCTCCCGCAGATCGAAGCCAAGATGTTTGCGCTCAACGAGAACGTCGCGGCGGTCAAGAAGGGCGTCAAGAACGCGATCCGGTCGTGGTGGCGCAAGCCCAAGGACACGAGTGCGCGCTCGTCGGTGTACGTCTACCGCTACGACAGCATCGAGTCCAACATGCTCTTCCTCGCCGACATGGCCTTTTGCATCCACGACTACGACCTCGCGCTCTCCATGTACCGGCTCGTGCGTGACGACTACAAGACCGACAAGGCGCTTCTGCACTGCGCCCACGCCAACGAGTGCATCGCGCTCTGCCTCTTTCTCCTGCGTGGGTCACTGCCGCAGATCCACAACGCGATCGAGAGCTGCATTGCGATCTACGCGCGGCTCGCGGCCACGTCGCCCCAAGTGTCGACCGTGCGCCACGCGACTCGCACCGCGGTCCTTGCTAGCGACATGTACGCGGCGCTATTTCAGCTGGCGCCGGCGTCCGACCTCATGGACGCAGCGTCGGCCGCGCTCATCCGCGGGTCATCGGCGACCGACCCGAGCCAGCCAAGCTTTGGCATTTGCGCGGCCGTCTTGTTGGAGCGCGCGGCGTTTTGCGATTTGCGGTCGCGGACCGCCAAGTTTCGGAAGTATGGCTTCCGCATGGTCATGGCCGGCCACGTGTACGCGACGATGGGGTACACGCCCCACGCCGCGCGCTGCTACGCGTGTGCGCGCTCCATGTATGCGAATTCGCGCTGGTTCGCCGTCGATGACCACATTACGGGCACGTTGGCCAAGCAGCTCTACTCGCTCTCACACCCGCAGCAAGCGATCGCGCTCTTGCTGACGCGGATCGGGTCGGGTCGGCACACGAAGGCGCAGCAGCAGCAACTGCTCGCCGAGTTTTACGACATGGTCTCCGAGTGTCTTCAGGACGCGGACGCGCTGCCGGACTTTGATTTGCTCGAGACGGCGGAGGGCCATCAGAAGGTGTTGCTCGTCAAGAACCTCGCGATCCCCGCCATCACGGATGCGTCGGTGGTGGTCTTCGCGCCATTGAATGCGTCTGGGCCGGCCGTCCCGATCGACATGGACGACGCGATGTGGAAGCAAACACAGTTTCTGCTTTTACGCGAGGAAAAGATCCAAGCGATGGCGACGCCGCACACGCATTGGCGCGAACTCGCAACCGCGTCATCAACGGCCCTCCAGCTGCCACTGCGCAACAAGAAGCCGATCAAAGCCGGCTTCAAGTCGTACATTGTCCACGAATGGATTTACGTCGAGTTCGAAATGAAGAACCACTTGGCGTGCGACGTCGTGCTGTCGCAATTGCACCTCTTTGGGCACGTGGGCGACGACCCGTTTCCATCGTCCACCCATGTGCAAGTCGAGTACCAAGACGTGACCATGGCGCCTTTCGCCGACACCAAAGTACGTCTGCGACTGCTGCCACAAGCCATTGGCCGCGTCGAGATCCTCGGTGTGCGCTGGGCACTCAACACGGCAGTGCACGGCGAGCACTCGTTCAAGCTCCCAGGCATCTTGCTCCAGGACTCGCTCCAGCACCGCGCCAACCGCGTGCGGGCACCCAACGACGCAACGCGCTGCGACATCAAGCCGCAACTGCCGTGGCTCGGCGTGGCGCTCACGCAAGAAGACGGCAAGGCCGTGCCCGACCCGCTCGTTTGCATGGAAGGCGAGGTTCTCGTCCTCTCGCTGACGCTGTCCAACCATGGTGTCGCGCCGCTCACGGAGCTCACGATCGTCTGCAGCGAATGGGCGTACACCCTCGAGACGCCTTGCCACGCCGTGGGCGCGCTCGGCCACGTCACGACGCTCGATGCGTTTGCCCTGGCGCCGGGTGCGTCGGTGTCGATGCGGCTCGTGTGCCAGAGCCAGCACGTGGGTACGCAAACCGTTCGGTTCCTCTTCCGCTACAATGGCGGTCGCGTGGTGCCGTTGGTGCTGGAGGCCGAGACGCTCTCTTGCCTCCAGCTCTCGCACGCGATTCACCCGAGCTACAACCGGTCCGGCGAGTACGTTCTCGCCCTCACGGTACAATTCAATGAAGAAAAGACGATGGTGCGAATACGATCGATCGTGTATAGGTGGCCAACGCGCGCAAGGACGGCACAAAGGAGGCCACGCCAAGCATGACCCTGGCCACCAGTGGTCGCTCGTGCCGTTCGAGCCGCTGCAAGAACCGAGGTCCACCTTGCGTGCCGGCACGTCGCTGCAGTGGCAGGAGACGTCGACGCTGTACTTTCGGCTCGTGCCAAAGACCGGGTCCGAGGCGCTTTTGCATAGCGTGCCGCTCTCGCCACAAGTGGTGCTCCCTACGTACGCTGTGCTGACGTTTCTGACGCTGCAGCACGCGGCCGAGCGCGTCCTGGACTTTAAGAAGAAGAAGGCGCTCGAGCAGGGCGGCAACAAGGCGCAGCTGCTCCGGTCGATCCAGAGCGTGCGTCGTGACAACAAGCAGACCCACGGCGAGGCCGGCCATGACACAGTGCCGGCCTTTGAGCACGTGCCGCTCACGTCACCCGATGCGCTGCTCCACCCCGAGGTACCTATCTATCTTCTGCCGACACGAGGTTCACGTACAACTAGATGGATCTGCATGTGGTCGTGCAGTGGGCGGGCACGGGGCCCGTCGTGAATGGCCTCCAGCGGAAGCGCTGTCTCGGGCACTCGAGCGTCCTTAACGTCCAAGTGCGCACGCCGTATACGTCATCGTCCAACGCGTGTCCGCTGACGATGACACTGGACTATGCGCCAAATGTGCGGCTTGGTGCGGTGCCCATGACGCTGCACCTGCGCAATGACGCGTCGGCGTCGTCGCCGCCGATTACGTTTACGCTCGAGACGCTCGTGCCCGAAGAAGAGCACCCGAGCGTTCGCGCGTCGTCGGCGGCGACCACGACAAGTGCGCGCGTGTTTTGGGCCGGCGTCACGCGACGGACGTTTAACGCGCTGCCGCCCGGGGCGCTTGTCGATGTGCCGCTCACAGCGGTCTTTGGTGCCCCCGGTATCTACGATCTGAACCGGTTTCGGTTCATTCTCGAGCGCGACGGCCAGCGACCGCTCACCGTCTTCTTCCCCGTCGAGTACCTCGTGCACGTGGCGGCGTAATAGACGTCTCCATACGTGCTTTCTTGTTGTGGGCATCAACGTGCACACTTGTTAAGGCGATGTCGTTCTCTCTTCGTGGTGCCAAGTAGTAGACTGCTAGCGGCTCCATTCGCTCAACGAGAGCACCACAATGTCGAAGCGTTCACGGCTTGATGTTTTTCACAGCAGAATTTGGGTTGGCGCTGAGACCGAGGCTGTTGACGCAGTCACTGCGCATTTGTTGGATGCTGTGAAGACCGACCGCGGACGAGGACCAGCAGCTGGGACACGCAAGGATGACAACATGTCCCTTGTGAAACCAACCAAGACACCACGAAAGATCGCGAGCAAAGTGTCGGTGACGTCGTTCTTCCTCCTTGAATTACAGCCAAGCCCGTGTATCAAAGCAATTCGATATGGCGAGGTATGGAAAATCACGTTTTGAGTCTTCTACCAAGCAAACGAGCGGCGGCCGAGCAGATCCGCGAGCGCTTCGTTGAAGGGCGCGTAGAACGCCTGGAGACGCGCGCGTGTGTCCGGGTGCAACGCGCCGTACGCGCGCGTGTTCTTGGCGCTGCTGTCTTCGATCGTGTAGGGCGGGAGCTCCAAGAAGGCAAACACGTCCTGCATCACCGCCTACGGAACATGTTAGAATGCGATTCGACACATATAGGCAGCGCACGTGCAAGCCCGTCGACGTCTTCATGTCGTCCATGTTGACAATGTGGAGCTGGTCCTTCGGGAACGCTTCAAACCAGCCCTTGAGCTGCAGCGCGTAGAGCCCTAAGATCAACGTTTCCGTTTTTGCCACTTGATACTTTGATAGTGGACGCACCTCGACCAATGAACGAATGGCCGCCATGCGTGAACGAGAGGCGCGTCTGGAGGTAGACGCGATCGAATTCTTCAAACGACATGTCGGGGTGCACGCCGAGCGCCTGGAGCTCGGCGATTTCGGCGTCGACGACTTGCTCAAAGCTCTTGCCACCGAGCGCATGGTGACCACTATGGAAAAGATAAATTGCACTCTTCAAGACGCTTCCGGTACCGGTTCTTGAGCTGCTCGGGGTTCCCGACCGGGTCCGCCGTCATGTTGTAGTGCGAGAAGGCGCGGTCCACAGGGTTGCGCAACGTCGCGAGGATCTTGGCGCCGGGCATGAGCGCTTGAAAGCGCTGGATGACGACCGAGCCGCCGAGGAGGTAGCTCGGCGTCGCTTCGCCCGAGAGCACCGACGGACACGGACCGAGGATGTCCATGCGGAAGAAGCGCTGGTACATGGCCAAATGCGCGGCCTGGCCTTCCGGTGTCTCGATCGGCGGCAGCTTTGGATCGAAGCGCCAGTCCAAGTAGTGGGTTTCCTACCCACATCAACAATATATCAATCTATCAAGACGAGAGCGAACGAGTACCTTGCGGTTGGCCGGCACCACGAGGTCGTGCTGCGTGATGTAGTCGTACAGCGACGTCGTGCCCGCTTTTTGCGCGCCAATGATGCAAAACGACGGCGTCGGGCGCGAGCCGAATTCCGACGACATGTCGACCGTCCGCCGCGTCTGGTGGAGGACCGTGCCAGGCGCGAGCTTGCGCAGCGGCAGCGACGCGAGGGAAAAGTCGGCGTCGACGTAGTCAAAGATCAAGTGCACGCGCGCTTGGTTCCACTTGTTCTCGACCATGTGTTTGCTCGCGTTGTTGAGCTCGTACACGTTGCCTTGAGCAAACTCGATGCGCTGCATCGCGTCTTCGTCCAGACCCACCTAGGCACGAATAGAGATCGTGAGTTTTATCGGACGACCGAACCATCAACGCACTTTAAAGTCGATGTGGTCGCTGGTGATGATCGGCAGGTGCACGCGGTGGCAGTGCGCGACCCACGCGCCCGTGTCGTGGTGCACGGGAATGACCGAGCCCGCCGGCATGCGTGCAAACAAGCACCGAATGACCTACGGCGCGTGAGTCGATAGAATGCGAAGCTCAAGGCCACGCACGCGCTCGGGCGGGATGTTGAGCGACTCGAAGAACGGGAAGAGGAGGTCGCGCCACTGGTCGAGCCACGGAAAGTGGTAGAGGTGCTTGAGGTAGTCGTCGCAAAGATGAGCATGATCTTGCCAATGCCCCAGCCGTCGTGGCCCGACCGACGCATCGGCACGTTGTTGACCTGCTGCTCCGGGTTCCAAATGGCCATGGTTTCTTCCATGCGCTGGAGACGCTCTTGGAACGGACGCACGTCGACGTTGGTCGCGCGCAGTGACACGAGGTCGCCGAGGTGGCTGCGCTTTGCCAGCGCCACGGTGGGCGCGACCTTCTCCGAGAGCGGGATCTCGCCGGTGCGTGCAGCCATCGTTCGTGTCAATCGCAAGTGCGACCGACGCCAATCGGCCCGCCGGGCTGCGACATGTCACTTGCGCGAGCCAATCACATGTCGAGAAAGGCCACTCTTGTTTTTGTGTCGGTTCAAGACACGTGACCGCGTCGGGTGCGCGACTTTAGCACCCCAAGTGTCATTATGTGCATCATTCCAGTCATATAATTGGTGGAGAGAGAAACGCCGTCTGAAGAGCGTTTTGAAATGACTACTTATCGAACAACACGCGCGAACTCGTCATTTGATTACAAGGATTGCGTTGGGTTGATGCTGGCAGTGCGTCAAATAGGCGCCAATGCGCAAGTGAGATGAGCCCGACGACGCAGAGAGGGCTGGTCGTTTGAGAACAGGAAAATAGACGCTTCATCGAGTGCGTCCAAACCATACTACATCCGGAGTGCTTCCTGCGTACATGTAAAAAGTGTATTAGAGCGGGGACTTGTTTCGATTGTCTTGG